AGTGCAGGTTCGCACCTCTTCTGTTGTACTCGTACATTAGCTTGTTAGAAGCGTTGTCTATGGAAGGGCTGCTGAGAAGAGTCTTACGAACAACGAAAGATAGCAAAACGATTGTCGAATTCAACTTGCTTCTTTGCAGCCCGTCCTTCAGCAGCGCCAATTTCCGCATCTTTTAATGGTAGTGGCGTGGTGCTGCTATGCAGAGCTCATAGCATGCCGCGCGCAACTGCTGAGAGCTGGATGGAATCTTCACTGTATAGTCCCACCGGTAATTTTTGCACAGTCTGCGCACAACGCACAGATCGAATCGGCGACACCCGCATGCAAGCAATGCCAGCTGCCGGTGGCAATTTGCCATACTAGGCCCATATGGCACCTGTTCGGGCGCAGTTTTCAACCGGAGCATTTCAAAAGAAAGCTCCGTCGTGGGATCATGTCATATGGCGGCCCAGTCCTCTACTGCGCCGAGGTATGGAAGAAGCTTGGGGATGGAATCTCGCCAAAAGAAGTGGCCTGTGATCAGATTCTCCCAGGAAGTCATGCCGAAAGATATCAAATTCTTGCAGAATTTTGCAGCTATTTGCAATGAAGGAGTTTAACTACGACTGCAAAGGGTCGGTCGGGCGGGCCACAGCGCCGCCGTTCATTAAATTATCAAAAGATGCAAATTCATGCTGTAATTATGTAAATATAACATACAGGTATATACATACGTATATACATACATTCAATGTATGCAAAGATATATGGTTATTATATTCACTCTCCCATATCCTGAAACCACAAACTGATCCAAATTTCCATGTGCTGCCGCCCTTTGTTGGCAGCCATCGACGGTTCTTACGAGTAAGTCTGAATTTTTTTTTTGAAGCGGCAGGTGCTTCTGGAGCTAATATCGAAAATATATTAATCGAGGGAATATAGGAGCCATATAATTTCAAAAGAATTCTGGACTCTTTTATAATTTATAATAGAAATATAATTCCGATAATATTCATAATGGGTCTAAATAATAAGGTAAAATATATTGGTTTAAATAGGATTCTTTTATAATTCGTATTAGAAATATAGTTTCGATAATATTCTTAATAGATCTAAATAAGAAGATAAAATAAATTGATCTAAAAAAAATTAGAATATATTTTCACATCTTAATATCTATTATATTTGAATTTGATCTGATTAGGATATGAGATATTTCGACGCAATATATGATTAGGTGCTCTATGGCTCCCCCTCTCTCTCCCGCCCCTCTAATGGTACATGCTCCGGGTTCTCTCTGCCCCCCTGAAAATGGGGTGTCGGGTCTTTCTTCCCCCTTGCGGTGCGGGGTTTTGAGATTTTGAGGTTTAGGATTTAGTTCTTATTTTCGAATTTGGGATTTAAGGATACGCTGGGCAGTAAGGGTAGCAGCCGAATCCCTTGCGAAAAAAACCTAAAATTAAAAATTATAAGGTTGCAAATCGATAGGAGCTTAGGAAGATTTGGAGAGGTAGATTAATTAAGGGAACGGAGTTTATTCTGCTTCAAGCTTAGAGCCTATATTAGGCGATATTAGATTGGAACTAATATTTCAAAATTCTAATATTATGTCGCTCGCCTCGGCTGCTGAGGGCCAGAAGGCACGAAAAGCTGCGGCTTCGTATGAATAGTCTACTGGGCCGGGAAAAGGAAGAATGGACGCAAAAAGCGGCAGAGCGGATGATTCTAATTATTTTAGATTTTCGGAAGAAAGAAGATTAGGGGGAAGATACTTGAAATAATTCTCAAGATGCCTTTCTATTATACTAATGACTTCTTCAAATATTACTAGATTATTATCTGAGCCAAGCTGGTCCCAAATTGAGCTTCTATTTCATGATACTTTTCAGGTCTCTCTAGCCGTAGCATCCAAGGAGTCGGAACAAGAAAGAAAACGGACAAACTGTCGGAATTATAGATAGAGGAGCCACCAGCATTAATATAGCTCGTCGCGTCAGATTTCGATATATTCTCGGGTCATTTCTATTAGAGGACTCCAATAACACGCTCTCATCTCCAAGAGGCATAGCGAGAACGCCCACCCTTAGAGCTTAGGATGCTCCACTACTTATATTCAAATCAGTTCCCAATAGTCGTCTTTTCCGTTGCAGCTGAAAGCCCTTGCTCCGTCCTTTAATTAATATAAGTGAGTCTAATATTAGAATAAAGATTCTCTTTTATAATTTTTCTGCATCCAGAAATCCTAATTTTCTAATCCTACCTCTTCTACTAAAATTTCGAAAATATCCTATCTAAGCCTTCAATTTCCCGACGAGATTCCTCCCGAAAATCTCTTTAAATTTCATCCAATCCCCCTTATTATAACGATCTCAAAACGATCAGATCAAATTGCAGGATTTCAGATCCTGAGGCACGATCCGGATTTCTTTTATTCTAGAAATTTCATATCATTCTAATCTGAAATATGAAGTCGTATCGCATTTTCTTTTATTATGATTATCAAAAAATGCCGTCAGATATATTCTTATAGGAAAAAATTTTTCAGAAATTATATTTTATTTAATTCTTTAAAATAAAAATAGTCTTTATTTTCATGTATTTTTGAGAAGACATTCCTAATATTCTTTCCTTTAGTCATATATAAAAGAATTTCTAAAATTTATCTAAAGAAAATATAGATAGGCAAGATAATAAAAAACGATTTATTTATTCAATTATCTTCCGTTCTTTAATTTTAGATTATATATATTATGATCTCGATAATAAGATTTCGATTTCTTTTCTTTAGATCCATCTCAAATCCAATCATAGATATAAATCAGATTAAGGCTCGAATCTAGGCCCAGATTTAGATTTAATTCTCCATTTAATTCTGTCTTATCCTATCCTATCCAGGGTCAGGGAGACCAAGCCCTAAGCCCATACCCAGATCCAAGACCCAGGCCCAGGGACCAATATCAAGCTCTTTTCAGGGACTCAGATCCAAAATCCAGGGCCCAAGGCCCAGGCCAGGCCCTGTCCGGGAGACCCTGTCCTAAGCCTGATCAATCTAAGCCTCTCCAGCCCAGATCCATGGTCCAAACCCTAGGCCCAGGCCCTCCCCCGAATTCTAAATCTAGATCTTTCCCGTCTTCCCCTCTTCAGCCCCAAGCCGAAGCCGAGGCCCAGGCTCCAAGCCATAATTCTAGGGCCAAAGGCCAAGGCCTGCCCAGGGCTCAGGCCCAAGGCCCAGGGTCCAAGATACAAGGCCTATGACCTATCTTCATATTATCTAGAAGAATAAATAGAGAAAGATATTTTGACCAAGTAATAGAAATATAGATATATATTTTTTAAATGTTTTCATCAAATATTTTCAAAAAATAGTTTCGAAAATATTTTCTGAAAAATTTGATTTATTATTCTTATATATTCATCTCATCTAATCTATATCGATTTTTTTTCTTGAGAATCATTCCGAATTACTATTCATGATTTCATAAAAGATAATCCCACTTCTAAATTACTATTCCTAGAAAGAAATTCCTTCATAATCTCCTCTTATTCCTATAATTCCTATAGAATATCCTTTTTGATTTCATTTACAAGATATACCAATTTATAGATTCCCGCGCTATTGGGATCTGTTGCTGCTGAGATAATATATATATATAGAATAATAATTTATTGAGATTTTTCTTCTGAATATTGATTAGATTAATCAAAATTCTTGCTCATTGATTCGAAATCTTGAAATCCTAGGTTATTGATCTTCTGAATCTTATATCTTAATTCATATTTGAAAGAATCTCTTAAATATGAGATTAGAAATATATTTTGATTATTTAAAAATATATTTTTTTTAATCTAGATCTCATATGATCTTAAATCTAATTGATTTTTCTATATTGAAATAGTCATCTCTAAGGCTCTTATATGATCTTCAATCTAATTTTGCTTGCTTCTCTCTATCCTACGATTTCTATTCGATCTAAATCATTCTCAAAATATCTAATTCCGATCTCTGGTCATATGAGATTCTATAGATTTTATCAATATAGTCAATATTAAATACTCTCTATGCTGCTTCGATATATATAATGAGAGATAAAAAATAAAATCATGATTCCGATTTATCAAAATTTAATTAATAAGATATGATAAAAATCTTTAATGAATAAAAATGTGATAATATTTATCCGATATCTATTATATATATATATATATTTACTTGTATATGAAGAAAATGATTTGAATAATAAATAGAAAATGTCATATTATTTATTTGATTATAGTAAGATCTCTTAGATTCTGAATATCTTTCTGACAATTCATTATCATATCTTTATTCGATTTTCTAATTATTAGATATAAATAAATCTGATTGATTTCGAAGATAGAACAAATATCTTATTCGATAAATTT